ACCCGACACTGACAGCCCGCTGCACATAACACATTAGTTATTTTTCACACTAAATTAATTAAACACTCACAAACAAGTTATCTATGACGCGGCGCCACTATCGATAAAGTTAACTACATCTAACGGAAATATTAGAGCCATCTGATAATAAAAGTTATTTTAAAAGTACATGATAATTTTATTAACCCTTTGAAGAAAAAAAAACAATGATGCAAGGCAAAAACTACGTATCATCATCTAACACCTACTTCGTTTATAACCTTAGTAAAAATAATAATAATCCAAGATTCCATAAACAAGGTCAGTTAGAGTGTCAGATTTTTTACTACATGATTGCGTCTCCTTGAACACTTACTAAATTTGTCTCTCAGAGACAACTAACCCGATGATATCATCAATTAAAACAAATAGCATAGATTAAAGAACGACCTTGAAATCTCTACTCGTGAACTAAAATGTTCCACTTCAAGAAATGGATACTGAAATAGTAATACAAACTAAATAACTATAATTTGGTGAATCGGTTCGATACAAAATTTGTTTCTACATGTAAGAGTAAATTTATTTAATATGCACTGATGTCCCCTTGACATAGCGGCAACTGTAAAAGGCCTAATGATATCGAAATTTATGCCATCGATTTTGTGTACGAACCCTGCGATTGCATACGGTAGTAAGTTGTTCCTATCATATATGGAGTGTCTGATTGGGTGACCATGTTTACATTAATTAGTAAAAACTAACGTAATTGCACATTCAAGAAACGAGATGCCGGGAACTCCCTAAATGTTTGTTGTTAAGAAATGATTTAATTTAATTTGTCCACGGACATTTTTCGCTTTAAATATTCTTGGTAATGACGAAATGGCAAAAAGGCCAAACACCTCGCCATCATAAGAAATTAACAAAGTAAAAATTGTCACTTACTTTTTGCGAAATATAGTTAAAATGTATAGCAATACATGAAACATAGAAATTACTATTCAGTTAAAGATCTGACTTTCTTTTCTTTATTTTATAAGGCGCTGGCAATTACGACGCCTCTGGTTTGTGTTCGTGTAACTGTGGCGCGTGGCGTGGGCATTGGGACAGTTGGCCCACGCCCACTGCCGGCCCACGGTCACTCGCTCGCGTAAAACATAAAGCCTGATATACGAGCAACGACACGACGCCTTTACGTCGCCACCGCGAGACAAAAACAAGACAAAGCTTTTATCTAGGTTATTGTGGGCCGCTTGTTCTCTTTCCGGATACAGTTTTCAGTTATTGATTATATCTTAGACATCAGGAGAAAGTTGATAACATTTCAAATACTTTTTTTATTTCAAAAGCATTACAGCACACACGTTTAGGATAATACAAGAATAAAAAAAATATGATTTTAAAACGTCGTATATACTAAAAGGATTTAAATCTTCCCCTTTCCATCTACATAAACTTTTTATTCATTAAAACTTATTTATATTGTAACTAATACTTACGTTAATAAATCAAACAGATTAAAATTGGTACTAAAAATAGAATAAGTTAATGACTCAAATGCATTTAAGAAGTGAACACATCGATCAGGTTTATTTTTAGCTTTATAGTAACTTAATTTGACAAGTCACATCCTTAATACTTTCACGTCATCGAGGGGCCGCCTAATCCACCCTAATGGGCGCACGTTGAAATATTCGTCTTGTAAAATATAAATCAGTACAAGTGTTCCACCGTATTGGGTGCAGTCACACGTGGACGGTCGTACCCTTACATAGGGGTGAACAACCTAACCTGAGGACTATTACGGGTTAGACAAGCCGGGATTGCGCTCATTAGGCCCTGCCTACATGTTTGGTCCGAAGATTCTACGCGACTAGCAAGGCTTGTTTTTAATAAGGCCATATATGAAAGAAAAGAAATCAACTTAATTCTATTATGAGCTAACTACCAGTCTTACTTAACAGGTTGTGTAATCTATGATAAAAAGAGTATTCAACTCTGATACTGACTGATAACTATACTTTGCACCCGTTTTATAAAAGAAAAAGAAATTTTAAACATGGAATACAAGATTTCGTTGCGTCCATCGTCGCAACCCTGAGGTTTGCCGCGCTTTTTTCGTTATCGGCGCGCGCTAAAACAACATACACAAAAACATTATCTATAAAAACCGCTAACTTTCTGTTTTCAAACATGGACGCAAAAAATTGTGTTGGGGTGTTAACTGGGGTTTGTTCCGCGTTCTCAGTTTTTAAATTTTAACCAGCGTTATAATGTTATTAGGTTAGCAGTCGATGTAATCTTGATTTTACCTTAATTTAGTTACAGGTAACCATTTTAAGCATATGAATAATGAGAATTGAAAAATGGAATATTGTATTTAACTCTTAAAGAAAGAAGTTCATATAATGTAGATGTTTATGTGAGTTAAAACACGAAAACCTTATCAAAATACCAACCCGTGACAAACAATAAGTCGTGTTGAATAAAAAAGCGGACAAAATGGAGAGGCAATCTCGCGCCATTACCAACAAATGACAGAGGCGCCGGGTACCTAAAAGCCACTAATGCAGCGCCCCCGCAGCCCCCGCTGCCATCCGCCAACGCCACAGATAAATAACATCACGTTCCTCAATAACCGAATACATTTTGTTACGGGATCAATGCAGAAAAAATTAACGAGAACTTATATCTTCGTTGTAATATTGAAAAAAATAAAATAAGAATGTTTGAAGTAATAACATAATTTATGATTAATTTACTTGAGATATAAATTGCAATGCCCATTCAAAGGCAAATGACAATGACCAAAGACTTTGGATTAAATTACTGCTAATTAGTTAGAAATACTTGGTAACTAATAAATACCATACCTTAATGAGATATAGTATTCTGACCAATAAGGTAACAAAATGTGTTATTTCTTACCTTATTGGTGACCATAACTAAAATAAATGTTAATGTGGATTTACTTTACGAATAAACAAATATATTCACTACCAACTTTTGTATGTAAAATATTCCTTTAAAACACTGACCGTCGTACTCAGAGTCAAAGCGTATTTTTACTGAGGCAATCAGCTTAAGGTAACAAATTAAAAACCGTAGAGCTGATATGCATATAGATGTCGATGTTTATCCGTATTTGTATAAGGCAGTTCGCGTATTGCAAAAGGTATGATGGATTCAAAGACCCGAGATCCTTCCTCATATTTTATGATAATGACTTCCTAACTGATTTGTAATAGCGACATCTAGTTGTAGCATTCGAATCTCCTTATCCGATGAATCATCTACTGAAGGTATAAAAAGCTTAGATGCAGCGTGAAGGCACGCGAACACAATAAATAGTACATCTACAAAGTTTTATACAAAAACTACGATATTGTAGACTTTTTATTTTTTTTAAACTTGTAACAAAAGGGAGACGAGGAAAGCAATCTACTCCGTCTTGACTATAGACTCTTTTTATTTGTTAATGAATTTTAACTAAAAAAAACTTACCTAGGACAAGCGTATTAACTGAATAACGTCGATTCTAGATTTATAACTGCTCATTAAACTGAGCGTCCAACAACAAAGCTCTCTTGTTAATTTACAACCAGAATTCGTTATAACAATCGTATAAAATGAAACTTTTAGCATGGCTGTGTTAAGTCGAGATTTATTCGTGGAAAACACGAATCGTTCAATCTTCGACACATCGATGGCATCCCGCTGGTTATGTTAATTAACACATTCCCGATAGTCTTTTGTTTCAATACTAAATTATATCGAATAACTGTATAATGAAACATATCATCTTAAAGTATTCATTTCAGTGAAGTTTATTCTCTTATTTCTTAACAATGACTCTTTCGCAACGCCACATTTTATCATATTATTTTAAACTACCACTTATCTGACAGCCAAGCTTTAAGAGTCAATTGCAACTTTACAGACTTTTTATCGCTGTGTTTCATTAGTGAGCGTAGGTGCAGTAAAATTTGCGATAGGGCGCTGCTACCTTTCTCTCTGCAATTACTAGTATACTCGACTTTCTACAATATTTGTAACAACAAATTTAAATCAGATTGTATAAAAATAGAAAACTGTAAAGTTTAATAGTATGTTGAGTCGTTAATTGAAATCAAATATTGTTGGTAATACGATAATTGGCGAAGATTAAATATTCATAACATAGCGTGATGCGCTAACGAGCTGTCACTCGTAAATATTTGTCTATGGAAAGTTAGTTAGTGTATGACAAGAGTCATAAAGCTTTATCTCAGCCTCGCAACGGTCGCGACACAATAATAAAAATAAATAAATGCGTCTCTTTTCTACGAAGACTTTTATTTATTCTCGCCCAAACCTGGCGCGAGATAACAATGATGCGTACGTTCAACCTTTATATCTCTTAGGGCTGGGACACGCCTTTATAGTCCCTTAATTGCACCCATAAACTGTCATAAAATCAACACATGTTTATATTTGCCTATACAATATGTTAATAATTAAAAATCCAATTAGTTACTTCAGATAACAATATCAATAGATGTATAAAATTTTATTGATACAGCAAAGCTTACAATAGTTGGATTAATTAAATATAAAACCTGTTTCATGTAAAGAAAATCCAAAGTTTTGACATTGACAGAACTGGCTGAATAGATTTTTTTTTAATTAGGCGGCAAAGAGCAACCCTACCGTTGCCACGCGCGCCTTAGCCGCGCCTGCCCACGCGCCGCAACCGCGGTATTACCATACTCGATATGATCGCGGACCTTACTTCTGGCCATTGTAACGGCTTTAAACAAGACCCGGCTATCGTAATGCATCACATCTTAACATGTACTGATATAGCTTTTAGCTTTTTTGTTTAGTGACAAACGATGTAATAAGAGCCGATTAGGTGCTAAAAGTATTTGTTGATCTAAAGTGTTTCCTCATCAATCTTTTACTATAAGCTATTTAGTACTATTTTTAGTATTTCTTTTTAAAACTTACATCACATTCTTGTACTTCCATTTATATAACTTAAGAAAATCTTAGAGA